TCTTCTAGTGGAGATATTTAGTATAGTTATGTTTTTTAAGTTTCTGCTCATAGTCAAGAGAAGCCAATACATTAACACTAATATTAAATTATCATACCTATTCAAAGTTTTAATGTGCAACATTGAGTGTTCTCAAAATTGACACTACTGTAAGGCAGATGCCTCTCTTAGAGGAAAATGGTTGGTATATCTAGTCAAATGCCACTTGTTTTTACAAAGTTTAAAAATGTAACAGATACCTCCCTCTCTGCGTAAGTGGAACAGAAGATACTTGTTAAGCAAAATTCTTTTCTTAAATTCCTTTGACGGTACACACTAGAAATGGATATTCGTACACAATCAAAAGATTGTAGAAGAATATTACCACAAGCTGTATTGCACTTCAAGAACCAGCGCTGTTTACAGGACTGCAATCTGTCAAGAATATTTCACATACATGTAAAAAGGACTGTAGATGTTATTACTGTATGTACTTGCTTTAACAAAGATCTTCCTACTGTGCTGATGTCACGAGTAACTAGAGTCAAGCTACATCAGCTCTCTGTGACATAGACACTTCCAAGGCAGATGGTTACAGCAGTTTGTCACTGACAGTATTTAGAGAGAGATGGAGGGAGAACTTCACATGTATGCCTGTAAGTATTGTTTTAGCTTGATACAAAATGATTATTCCTTACTAAATTCCCAGCTCTTCCTTAGTCACACTAGATGTGGTTATTAAATGTACGGTACCTAATTGCATTATAGTTTGTTTTTTTTATCCTTTGACATTCAGGCAAGAAGATAAAAGAAATGTTGTAAACTAGCAAATGTGAAATGGCAGTTATGTCAAGGAGAATGTAATTTGAGTAATGACCTTTATCCCCTCCTGCAAATAGTGTACAAGAATGATAAACCCCTCCTGACAGCAGCCAGACAATAAAAGGCCCAAGCCATCATGTATATTGATACCGTAGGATGTTGAGTTTTATTAGCATGCACTTTGATAAAAGTTCAAGCTTCGTAATATTGCTATATTACAGTTGGGTACAAACTCTTGCTCGCCGTTCACTGAGCAGGCTCTCTTCTGAGGTTTGTCTCTTTGTTCTGATTTTATAAAAGTAGATTAACTTTGTTGCTGGCCGCATTTACATATAGGCTCCCCCCTGTATAGTTCCCTTGTTGTTTTGTTATCTCGTAGAGAACTAGAACAATGCTTATTCTTTGTAAGTTGTGTTAACTTTGTGTTCAAGGTTTTATTGTCGCAGCTTGATAACCGGAAAAGTCTGAAGTCTTAATTGTTTAAGTAACTCCTGCCAATAATTGGATAGAATTCTCTGTAAATAATGGTGTTTAGTTATACTTTAATCATTCTTTTCCTCATTTTAAAGGTTAGTAATAATTAACCCCTTCTGGAGCATTGCTTTGTTGTTGTTGGATTAGTAGTTGCTATCCATTTAGTTTCCTCTAAACTATCTATTTTGTTATCTGAATCATAAATTTTGTGTTAAGATAATTTCCTGTAATTCATTGCTTGTTAGAAATTGCAGTATTTATTCCTATTATCAGTGCTTTGAGCCCATTATGCAAATTTTCGAATTCCATGTCTCTTCAGCTCTTGAAATGACTTACGTGTTACGTGCTGCTTATCAGTTGTGTTATCTCTACAATTTTGAAAGTCCAATACCTTTAATTACATTGTTAAATGGAAATAAACAGAAGAAACAAAATCAATGTAAACTTTAAAAACAGACCTATCACTTTTTTCATTAGTGAAATGAAACTTAAACATTGAAAGAGCCAGAATGGCCTTTCCATCCCTCATTATTATTGTCAATTCACAGGATTCAAGTGTCCAAAATTTGTACCTGTAAACAGTCTAATGTGTTGTAGGTAATTTTTTTCTTCAGGTAAATTTGATTTTTACCTAGGTAATATTTTTTTCACTAGGTAATTTTAAAACAAATTTTTTTACCTGGATATTTTTAATCTGTTATGATGTTCTTCATTTTCACATAGTAGATCAACGGATATTGACAAAGCTGGAGTGCCGGTTAGCCAGATTTTACCCGTTAAGCCCGTGTCGGTTAGGGGTGACACTATTTGGCGCAAAGACAGAATATCACTAGTTTGCTTGCGGTTTGCTTTCACTTCAGTTTGCTTGTGGTTAGCTTTTTTTAGGTAGTTTAGGCAATATTTAATATTATTGTTGTTCCGTCATTCCACCTCGAATGGGGTCACATTTTGCATAAATTAAGTTTGGACCGAGGTGAGTCTGGGACCCAAAAAAGCAATAATTAGGAGAAAAAAAAGAAATTTTTTCAACTTGAGCTGTGTAGTCTAGTGGAGATCGAGATGGACATGTAATCTGAAGGTCTTGGGTTCAACACACGGTAGGTACTCGTAATTTCCTTCTTCCTTTGAAATTAATAATTAGATAGGAAAATAAGAAGAGGTAGGCGTAGAATAGGGAAAAAGAAAAAGAAAGAAAGAAAGAAAGAGAAAGAAGAAGTAGGTGGGAGCAGGGAGAGATGAAGAGAAGAGTAGGAAATGAGATTTTTCTCCTCCTTTTTACCTGGTTAAAAAAAAAATACCTAGTTAAATAATAAATTTACCTAGTTAAAAAAAATTTACCTACTGAACATTTTTAACTGCAACAAATGTCTCTGCAATATGGCCACTTAGATCTTTTTGCTTGCGGCAGTGTGTAAAAACTTTAACTGTGCCTTGTAGTTTAACTTAATAACAGATTTTTTTTTGTAAGCAAACTCAATAATTGTAAGCTGTAGAGTACATGTAGATTCATGTGTAACACCTATTGATGAGGTAGAAAAATAGATAACTGTTTATGCAAGTGGTTCTTGAATTTGGAGATAATATTTGCACAAATTGTTAGGGTGTTTTGTTAAAACTTTAAACAGGAGGCTTTAAGGAAATACTGCTTGGCAAGACTGTAACCTTCATGTAAAGCATAAGTTCTTTTCTTAAAGATAAAAACAAACAATAACAAGTCTCCTAAGGTTGGTGTTGAAAGGAGTGGGCAAAATTGTGGTTACAGGCAGTCCATATGTCCAGTATTAATGAATACATTGCTTTAACCATCCCTGAGAAATTAACTTAGTTGTAAGATAGCTTTGTGTGGTCAGAATCACATCATGAGCTTATCAGTTACTGAAAAAGTGAATACCACACAAGCCATTTGGGATTAAACTGGAGAAAATTTATAAATGGACTGCGCACAGTATGACATCTTTATGATCATTAAAGCTGTGTTGATTGGCATCAACCCTTAAACTATGGGAAAAATGTGTAAACAACAATTGGCTGAGTAAACATTTAGCTTCAATAACATACACTTGTATTGTATGGCTTTCATGGGGTCTAGAAATACTTGCGGTAGTTTAAAGCAAAATGGCCAGCTCAGATCAAAATGATTTCAAACTAGTTTGATTCAAAAGTTTTTTTTTTAGTCATTAGGGTAATAAATAAGCATCTGCAAAAGTCATTTCAAATCATACAAGTTTTAAGATCATTTGTACCTGAACTTCATTGTTACAAACTAGTGCAACTAGATATATACTATACATAGTATAAATGACGGGACCAACATTACAAGTGACTGTATGATCTGACAGCTGAGACATCTGGCCCCAGTTGTTCGAAAGATGGATAATCCTATCCACCGGATAAATCGCTGTCCAGTGGATAAGTGTTGACAAAACAAACCAATGTGTGCTGTCCCGTGGATAATGTTATCCACCTTTCGAACAACCCAGGCCTGGGCAGTATATAGCATAATACAAATGCAGAAAATGTTCAAACGAAACAGTGCAATGATTACAAGCTTGCATTTAGCAATTGACTTTATTAACACTGCTTGGTGAAAGTTAATGCCTTGATGTGGAACTTCATCTAGAACAGCATTTAAGAGAACAACTGAGAAGAGCTTTTCTAAAAGCAATACACGGCATGATTCCGGTTAACTCTTAAGCATTTGTTATCTTGAGTTCATAATCAATGCTACAGATTAACCTTGTATTTTATATTTTATTGTCCATTTGCAATATAGTCAGGCTGTAGCATTCAATTTACCCCAAGTATAATTTTTCAACTGAGAGGCTTTGGCAAAATTCTGTGTAGATCTCGTAGGCAACCACAGGGAAAATCTCATTTAACAAAGTGAAAAAAGTGGTATTTGTTATGTTACTATGCTAATTATTTTGTTCTCTTCACTTGGCAAAACTGTACTCTGTGTAAACGAAGAGTTTTTATTGATAAGTAAAACCCTAGCTTAGTCAGTGAAGTCTTAGGTATGAAACTCAGATAAAGGCCACACTGAATTGAAGTAAACACTTTTGTAGCTGGTATTTTGTAAGAGGACAGACATGAATATACTTGTGTTATCTTCACTATCTTTTAGCTTTTTTCTTTAGAAGATCAATATGATAATCATAAAGTTCACTAAACACTAGTCATAGCAGGAGTGAAATTATTTGTCCTTTTAATGTTATGTACAAAAAAAATTATACTTACAAGTGCAAACAGATTGAACTGACCAGAAACAATAGAATCTTGACCTTAAAAAAATTAAGGGACTTGTGCAAGGAATTTCAGTTATATTTTACCTCTGTCTCTAGAAGTGGTAGACAGCCTGTTGCGTGTGTGTGATGCATTGCAGTCATCATCCTACCAGTAATATTGTGTCGGAATAAATCAGTCACATAAGCTTAATACAGCATGAAATTTCAGTGCTAATCAAAACATGTTCAAAGTAAGTTAGAGGATCATTAGCCTGTTGATTACGTTAATGGTAGTTTTAATGATCCACATAGCGAGTTGGCGTCATTTAATTTCTGCCATTACAGACATTTTACAAGGCTGTTAAAATTTTTGTTGTTATTAGGATATTGGCACTGATTGCTCATTGAGTCATGGAGTATATTGTGTAGGTCATGGTTTGATGATTGCAATATTTTTGTCTAATATTTTATTTTAAAATTTTAATCATTTGCTTTCTTAGCTTTATTTTTAACTTGGTTTTACATCATACTTTGCATCATGTACACGAGAAAGCATAAAAAAACACTTTAAAATTAAAAAAATAGTACTAAGTTATACCTAGCTTCGGGAATAAAAAGTGAAATTTGAGTTCTGTGATTCTTCAGATAATATTCATTTCTCGTTGCTTCCCCTGCAGCCGAGTAAAAAATATCCTTGACAACAAAATGCAAAAACGTTCTGGTTTTATTTTGAACTCTGTTGAATAGAAGGATGTGTTCCAATAATTATAGTGAAGCAACAATGCCAATATATTAAATGAGTCATTTCTCAAATATAATGTCCTCAGAAGTAATCAGAGCATTACACTCACATAACAAAAGAATGCAGCTTAAAAAGAGCTAGCTTAATGCTTGCCTGTTAAACATGTTTTCAATGAAACAATTAAGAACACCCAAGATAATCTTAGTGAGCTCTAACTTGATTACTCTGCAAACAGTTTCCTCCTCTTGTGAAAAGGTTGTCTGATGTAGTCAAAACAAAACACTCAAATGCACAAAAATCATGACTGAGATATAGCTCCCGTCAAAAACTTTACAGTCCGGTTATGGTCCATTTATCATCTGGAAATAAAATGCCTTCAGTTTTCAAGAGATATTAACTACATGTAACCAGAAAGCCTACAACAAACCGAGTTGGTTTATCCCAGATGTTTTGTGTGTGTCCATTTACAACCTCATGTACATCTCATAGTGATTTCTATTAGATTTCAATGTGATTTCTTGTCATTATATTTCTCACCACTTATAGTCTTTAGGCCAGGGCCCGGCTCAAGTGAACAGTTTATAAAACAGCCTAGGAAAAATAAAATATTAATTTTCTCTGAAATAAATAGTGGCCAAAAGCCTGAGCATTACAAACAAGGGGGGAAAAAAAAAGAAAAGCTTCAAATGACCTAATTTTCAGCAAGTGGTAGTTTTTGAGAACATCATTTTGAGCATGTCAAAAAAGCAACACTGGTTCCACGTAATTAATCAAGTACCATGTTCTTTAGCATAACCACTGTTCAGAGAATTTTGCGTGCACAGTGGGACATTGACGTCAAAAGGGCACAAAATTAGCTCTGATGAAGTGCTCAGCTGAAAACACAATTTAAATTGAAAACTACAGCAGTTAATTAAAATTAATCAGTTTAAGTTGAAAAAACTGTTAGTGTCCTGTGAATGCCTTCCTTGTAGAGCAAAGTATTTTTTTCACATTTTTGGCTAATGAGCGAACTCACCAAATTTTGGTTGCTTGCTCACATTTAAATTCTGCCTTAAAGGCTAGTGCTAATGCAGAGCAACATTCTCTTTAGAAGGCAATGACACAATAACTGCTTGTAATCTTTATAATTAATTAGAGAAGACTCAGTTTGTTGTTTACCTTCAGTTGGAAGATCTTTTCAAGAAACCAATTTGGCTGGGAGCAATTGGTTTAATCTTGTTTCACGTAAATTACCAAGTTTGTTAAGCGAGTCTGATTTAGTCCAGCCCATTCCAACTTTGTTAATCCAGTTCAGAGCAGTCCAGTCCATTTCCAATTTTGTCATCAGCCTCAGGAAGGAAGCATGCACTCTCCTGTTTCAGGTCAGTTGAGGTCGCCAAGAATTCCAGACTACTCGTTTTGAAATGCGAAAAGAGCTTTCTGAGTTTTCTTTGTATTCATGAACCCCGACAAACATTGAGCGGTGATGACAAAGTTCAAACCATAATATCATTAAATAAAATTAAGGCTCGGAAATTTCATTGACAGCTAAGCCATTTAGGGATGATTTATAATGAAAATACATTGTTAATATTGTCTTAAAAATTCTTGCCATGAAATCTGATCAAGTGTGATACCATAATTCTCAAATTTCACCAACTCATACTTGTATTGTCTTTCTGTCGGGTAGTCTCAAAATATTGAAGGCACAACTTTGTCAAAGCCAAGAAAATATCACTCAACAAGTTATATTATGATCATGATAAGGTCAGCAAAGCTGTTAGTGTTTGCATAAGCTTAGCATAAATCCAAGTTGTAGATCGTATTAATCAGATTCAGTAAAACTTATGAAATCAAAATGTTGGTGGTGTGTAAAATAGGAGAAATTTGAAGTAATTGTTTTTCATTACTATATTTCAATCTTCCATTTACTTTGGAATTAGCAAACTATGACCTCATTAGTCTAATATAGCTTCAAAAGAACAGCAAGCAAAATATAGTTAGTGAGTGCATGGGACAGGCAAAATACTTGCGAAGCTAAATGGTTTCGTAAAATTGCATGTTGGAAGAACAAAGGTCCAGTCTTGCAATCTACATGTATATTCACCATCAGGTCGGTTAACTGTGATTTCTATGATTATTTCCATTGTGGGTGCAGTTAAAACTAGCCATCCTGGAAGAAGGAAATATTTATAAACATCTTAGCACAAGTACGTGCTTATAGCTGACATTTCGTTTTCGCTGTGATGTATTAGTCGACCCTTGAGTGTTCTGACATGACAATTCTATGAGCTAGCATTTCTGTCTCAAGGTTGTCGGTATCTGCCAGGGCTGCTTGCTGTCGGCAATAATTATTTCACTGTTCCCTGACTGGTGTGCAATAGTCCCAGGATTTATGAACTAAAAGGTAATGCCATTAGTGGGAAGTCAGATTTTCTTGATGGTTTTTTTCTAGGAATGTGTTAATGCCATGACTGTATCTTGATTGGAACATGTCCAAGTTTAAGATTTTTGAATGCAACATGTCGGATGTGGTTTCCTGATTGTTTCATAACCTGGCTTCCAAATGCCTGTTTGTTTTACTGTCTTTTTTACTTTTGGCACTGTTGGATCACTGTCAGTGATTTGTTCAACTGCTATTATTTACAAGATTTATATTAACTGTAAGTTACGATAATCATAGGATGATTTTTTATTTTGCCAGCTGTCTATTACACTACCAACATTGCATGAGTAGTTCAGTTAAACTTTTTTATTTTTGCGAATCATGTTTTACAGCAATTGGTAAATTGTCTCTTGTTTCAAGCAGCAAATCTAATATTGTCTCTCAGTTCACACTATATACAGTTTCTGAAAATAGAAGCTGACATTGCAAAAAATAGGAATCACATATATATGCCACCTAAACTAAGTTCTCAGCTTCAGCAGATAATTTCAGTTCAGTGTTTCTTGTCTATGTAAGGCTGGATAATTTAAAATCTCTTAACTAACTGGATTTTGTTTAGAACCATAGATATGTAGATATAAAATTTAAGGTTGTGTATCATCAATTTGTTTTGAGAATACAATGAATTGCATACTCTATATTTTGTGGAATAGCTATAAAATTGTGTCGAGGGAATTTACGTGTTTTGATAGTAAAGCAATCATTACAAGTGGTTAAAGTAAGAGGTATTGAAAAAGGTTCCCAGCATTTTTTATAATTACAATTATTTTCAGGTGGTACGTGAACTCTTACCTTTAACAAATAACTGGTCCAGTCTTCTGTAACTGATTGACAATGGTCAAAGGCGAGGAAAGCAACACAGGTACTAACAGGAGGAAAAGCGTTGCTCAACATGAAGAGGTTCAAGGTAATGGAAGTGTAGACCTGCCCTCATTAGAGGAATGTCGCTATCTTGATGATCAGGGACAACATATAGATATCGAGAAGCTTCATCACTATCATCATTACAGAACCATCTCTGAGAGGGAACAGTTTGAAGAAAAGCTTCGGAAAGGATTACTCTCTATGAAAGACATTGCAACCCTTCAAGAGCGACTGGCTATGGAGAAAAATGATGACAGAAATGTATTGGCAGGAATGTCAGACTCCATTGAAATGTCAGGTACATAGTTGAAAGTTAACAGTTGAAATCATGCAGTTAAGTTCTGACTAAGGCACACTGGATTTAGTGGTTTAGGTTTGAATGTTGGCCAGTCATCGTATTTTGTTCTTGGGCAAAATGGTTGGATTTATGAATTGGTGTAAATGCCACATGAAGCGTACCTCCATATTCACTCTTCCAGTAGAATTTTGTTTAAGGGATTTATGTCATGTCTTGCAGGGCTTCGTAAGTCTCAAAGACAGATATCAGGCATGCAGACTCTTTTAAGGGAAACAAACATCAGCAAAAGTTTGGAAAAGTTTCCTGCAGTATATGACCGCAATCCTCGTGAGGTAGGGCAAAATTCTATGTGTGCTTTTTTTTTTCTATTGAGCTTTCTGATAATGTGAAGTCATTTTATTGTCAATCTTAAAGAAGTACATGTGTTATTCATTCTGGAAGAATTCACACCTTGTTTTGCCACATTGTTCAGTGGTTTGTTGATTTGGTAATTTCAGGCATTTGTTGAGTTAGAAGAACTGACAAAGCATGGTGAAGAGATGGAATGGAAGGAAACAGCACGGTGGATTAAGTTTGAAGAAAATGTAGAGGATTCTAACCGCTGGGGAAAGCCTCATGTGGCCTCACTAACATTCCACAGTTTGCTTGAATTGAGGAAAGGGTTGGAAAAAGGTATCAGAGAATTGTAGTTTGACTTCAGTATGATGCTATCCTCAGCAAGTCTGATCAAGAATCACTTCATCTCACAGCTGCATTTTCTTCTTCTTCTGCTACCCCCACCCATCCCAAACCTTGTGCCAGGGTCTCTCTCCTCCCCCTTCCCCCCCCTCNGTCCTAGGGGACAGGACAAAATAAGACCCTAGGAAATGCCGTTAATCCCTCCCCTCCCAGAAACCTGTCATGTCAATATTATGTTTCATTTTGCTTTATGCGTAGCCAGTAACATATTCTGTGAAGGCACTCTAAACATTTGGGAGCTATTGAATAACTTACTCAGATTATGTTTGGAATGTTACAACTGACACAAACTGCTCTCTACAAACTTAGGCACTGTGTTGTTGGACTTGGAGAAATTTGACTTACCCAGCATTGCTGAAGCAGTGGTTGAAAACATGGTGATCACAGACCAGCTTAAACAGAAAGACAGTAATAAAGTGCTAGCAGCCTTACTTCTACGTCATAGACATCAACATCAACAGAGTTCCAAATTGAACCGTCGTGCATCTTCTAAGAAGTCCAAAAAATTTGGGGTACGTGCTGCAGATAATTTAGGACTTGATGCACACTCAGAGACAGGAAATGGTGTTGTTAGTTTGAAGATTGAAGAACAGAAACAGGTTTGTCATTTGTCTGTTGTTGTTGTTGTTATCTGTTGTTAATTAAATAATGTTCCCTCTCGTTGAAATGAAATTACCATTAATTTGTTGGAAATGTGGCCTTCACTGAAAACTTGTTGGAAGCAAAGCATACCACATGGTCACACTTTTGTTGTGTAATACAATAGCTATCATTAATGATGCAAATAGTTGTAACAGTGTACCATCGTGGATTAAAAATTTTGTCTCGCAAAAAAGTTTAGGTATGTTTTTCTGTAATTTGTTTGTAATCTTTTCATTTCTAATGGACATCAGGATCCACTTGCTCTTGAGTCTGCTGTGGATGAAAATGAAAACAGACAAGAGTCAGATGTGAAATCAAGAATTCCAGAGGGAGCAGAGGCTACAAACGTCCTTGTAGGGACTCTGGATGAGTTGCAACATCCTGTGCTAGCATTTGTCCGCCTTGCCAAGGGATGTCACCTGGAGCAAATGACAGAGGTGTCCATTCCAGTCAGATTTTTGTTCGTCTTACTGGGTCCAAGCAACAATGGAGAACTGTACCATCAGATGGGTCGTTCTATTGCCACCTTAATGTCAGATCAGGTATGCTGTTCATAGTATTGTAGGCACTTACTGTAATTCCCTCTCTTAATAATGGCTTAGTATGGGAAAAACTCTGAATTTTCAATACAAAAATGTGTGTTAACCCTGAATATTTGTACATATTAAGGAGGTCCTCTTTACTCTTTAATAAGCCATTCCTCCCCATCTTATCTTGAATAATAATTATTATTTTTATAAGGGTATTTTGAAATAGGATGAAGTTAACGGAAAGAAAAAACAGTTAGGAACTCAAGACAACTACAACTAACTCATCAGTTGAAATTGATTGTAAATGAATATTAAAAAAAATAATGTGTTTAGGTTACATGAATGATGATATTTTTTCAGGCTTTCCATGATGTTGCATACTGTGCAGATTCTCGTGAAGATCTTCTGGAGGCCATTAACGAGTTTCTTGTGGACACCGTGGTATTACCGCCAGGCAATTGGGATCGTAGTGTACTGTTACCCATCCTCATTGCTCAAAGCAGAGCTATTGCTATCAGGAGAAAAATGGCCAAAGCTGGTAAGAATGTTACACATTGGGCTGTATTCTTTTCTGTTATGACCACAATGCAGCCCTGTCAAAATGTGCTGGCAGCTGACAATTTCACCTTTTGCAGTAAATTGTTTGCTTCCTAATTTATGATGGAGTTCACTTAGCCTGCAAGAACAGCCATCCTTCTTCACTCCCAAATGCCACTTGGGGCTGGAGCGAAGAAGGACGGCTGTTTTCACAGGCTAGAGTTCACTAATCCTGATTAGAAAATAGCTCAAAGAAAATACACGCTCTGATTGGTTAAAAATTGTATTTGGATAACTCGATAGAAAAACAGAACTAGCATGAACTGTTGATGTAATGATGGCTCAAACAAAGATCATTTACATTTTGCTGATCAAAGTAAACAACTTGTTTTCTTATTTTTGTCATGGTATTTTTTAAAAGAAATAGAATGGCATGAATGGGATGTAGTCCATTGCTGGTTTCTTACCAGCATTTTGTAAACTAGAGCAGTTTACAATTGAGTGTCGTAAAACTAAAACCAAGCCAATTCCATACCAGGTACACCAGTTAGCCAATCTCAAACCATAGTAAAACCAAAACCGAGTAATAGCCTGATTGCATTCAACACTCAATGGGAAACTGCTCTATCTTTGACAATTTGCTCTCACTCATGGGGTTAAATTCTCAGTTTCGAAAAGATGAGAATAAAACTAGGACTAAAGCCACAAACTCCTGATTATTGTTGACATTTTATGTATAGAATTCACCTTGCTGACTACATCTATATTATTTTGTAGTCATGTGCCTTTTCAAACTTAAGTAGACCTCTTTACATTTCAAGTGAAACTGCCACTGTGTTCCCTAAGATCTTCAACCTTGGCTTAATTTCTGTTTTTGCAGCTTCATCCTCGCATTCTGAAGGGGATTCTGCCTTAGCTCGAACAGGCACCTTTTTTGGAGGGCTGTACCAGGATGTCAAGCGACGAGGCAAAGTTTACATCAGTGATTTTAGGGATGGCTTCAATCTGCATACCCTATTTGCATCCCTTTTTCTTTATTTTGCTTTTTTTGCAACAAACGTTGCATTTGGAGGTCTCTTAGAAGACAAGACGGGCGGCCAGCTTGGGGTCACAGAAGTGATTGTTGCAGCCTCTGCATGCAGCATACTGTTCGCACTATTTGCAGGGCAGCCTGTGATGATTATAGGAGCTACTGGTCCAATATTGGTCTTTGAACAGAGCATATATGAGGTAATAACTGTACGATTTTAAAAGTGGTCTTTACCATACCCTTATTTACCAGGAGCTGTATGGAGGAGATAGGACAAGAAAGGGGTTAACAATAGTTTGAAACTCAGACGTTATCTTTAAGTTTATTTATTTCACTCCTTAAGTGCCTTGAGTGATGTGGTATTCCACGTAAGGGGTGGTGAATGGTAAATGCGAGACTTTGGGAATAGGTGAGACTAGCATTTTTCTTTGAAACCCTGGTGATCAGTTCATTTTTAAGCAGACAGCAAATGAGAGTAAGAAACATGATATGCTACAGTGCACGGTCTAGATGTTCCACCTATTTCACACAGACAAAATAACTGAAATATTGGCTTGCATCATTTTAGTACCACAGTTCATGAAAAGCTATATAATGGCAAGCTCTTTGTACCCATTATGATCCTATGATACAGGCTAATAAATTATTTGCTTACATTGCTTGCCTATGCTACTACACAATAGGGAGTTTAACTAGCTACAATGTCAATGTCAATTAAAAATTAAATTTTTATTTTACCTACGAGTCTCGAGATACTCTTAAGTCATTGAGTTTGTTTCTCTTTGTCAAAACTATCTCAAATTTGAATATGGAACATAGCATAAAATTTGAAATAAATTTTAAAAATAATCCATCATGGTTCATATTGTCCACACAACGCAGAATTTGGTCATTCCACGTTTGTTGGTTTGCAGAGGACAACAAAGAAAGGTACCAAGAGTTATAACGCATGTGCTCGGCCACTGTTCTGCTTATTAATTCTTTTGTTTAGCAACGTTGCCGTTGCCATCATGGTTTTCTTAAACTCCCTAATGTTGTATAGAGCACTGCAGCCAAGGAGGAGAAATCCAACCGAGCTCGGGCTTCAAAGTGTAAAGCTTCTTATACTGTGTGCTTTATCTTTCAGTTTTGTAAGGCATATGATGTGGAGTTTCTTACTTGGCGTTGTTGGATTGGTTTCTGGGTGATGATCATTCTGTTTGGCGTGGTGGCTTTAGAAGGCTGCTTCTTGATCAAGTATTTTACTCGGTTCACTGAGGACATATTTGAGCTTCTCATCTCAGCAATCTTCATCTATGAGCCAATAGCAGTGTTGATAAAGGTGAGGGCTTTGAGTTGATTCAGCACAAGTTATTTAATGTGCTTGTTTGCAACTTCCAATAGCCTGTGTCACAGACAGTCCACACCACCTTTAGGATTTTGCGACACATCCCTCTGCACTACAGGTTACCCATCCAGAAGAGCAGCAATATAGGCCTGGTTTTCCTTCTAGGCCAATAAGCTCTAAAAAGGCTCCATATTTTTCATGGTTTACCCTGAAAATATCATGTACCTACCTTTGATCAGGTGACATGGCACTTAAGTTGTGAGTCAAATTACTGAACTTAAATCCACTCAACTTTCTAGATTTTGCATCTTGAGTTTATTTTACAAATAGTTGTTAGCCCAGACATTTTCAACTATGCATGCAATATGAATCTGAAATAACATTGTACTGTAATTGTTTGCAGCTATTCAAAAAGAATCCTCTTAACAGATCAGGAACGGGGAAGGATTATGGTGGAGTCGAGGTCAAAGGAGAACCAAACACTGCTCTTCTGTCCACCATCTTGGTGTTGGGAACGTTCTTCATAGCTTTCTACATGCGCAAGATCAGGACAAGTCACTTTTTGGGAAGGAGGGTTTGTACAAGATTTTGTTTCTTTGTCCTCACTCCTAAACTTCAGTAGCATATAGTATTATCCAAGTTACGGTTATCAGGTCGCTTCTGTAGTTCTAATTAATGTTAACACTACAAGATTAGCCTAAAAGCAGGCTCTTTGCGGACTTTGAGAGAGGCGAGGGAAGGGAGAGTGCTCACAGGCTACTGCAAGATGAAAGAACAAGTCAGGGTTGCCACAGGTCGGGGTAAAAAATCCTCAAGGTTAGGGAAAAGTCAGGGAATTTTATTTTGAATCAGGGAAAATTGATGTTTTGAAGGGAAAA